AGAAGACAGAAGTGCAAAGTTACATTCAGGATCCCAACTTCCCTGCTTTGCCAAGGTGGGCAGAACTGTGATCTGCCACAAAACATCTAGTAGATTTGAAAGGTAACAAGAAAAATGAGAATTTTGAGAAAATCCAGGCCATAAACACCAGGGAACTTTTATATCAAGTTTACTGCCAAAAATTTTATTTTACACTCAAGTTGCAAATGAATATACTGTACATGTCATATACAATGCACAAGTGCTTTGTGAACATAATTGTTAGCAACAACAGTTTCAGAAAATAAAATATCCTAAGTTCTCTGTTTCAGTACTTGACTTACCTTTTTTGCAATATAAAGAATATTTGAAGAGTGGCAGAAGAGGGCCATTTGTAACTGAGGAGGTTCTGACTGAATGTAAGGAAGACAAGGTTTCCAGTGAAGCCAGCTAAGTTTCGGAGCAGGCTGCCCAGGGAAGCTGCACAATCAACATCCCAGAGGTTTTCAAGATCCAACTTGCTGAAGCCCTAAGTCCAGGTCTAAATTCAACACTGATTCTGCTCTCAGCAGGAGGCTGGACTAGAGACCTCTCTCAAGATCCTTTCCAATCTCAATAATTATATGATTTGATTCAAGCACAATCAGCAGCCAAATTTAAACAAATCAATGAAGGCCTCCCATTTTTCCCTCTCACAACAAAAAAAGCAATACTCATCTTTAATCATCATCTTTACAACAGTCCAGCATTAACCAAAATCAAAGAAACAAGCAGCAAATGAAGAGTACAGAAAAGTAGCAACACCACATGAAAAGGCAAACTAAGAGCCTAAAATTCTCTTTGTAACAGCAAACACACTTTTTTTTTAATTGTTCTTTACATATTTGGAATTATCAACTGCATAACAATACCAAAGATATTTCTAGTGATTTTTAACTGGAATATTCCCTATCCACACTAAGTTTCTACTGGCTCTTCATACCATGGCAGTGCCAGGTCCCCTGTAAGTGCCCCAGGGAAGCCAGAGAATGAGGGTATGGGAGGTGGAGAGGAAGCAGGGATCCCCAAAACATCTCTACTCTATCCTGGAGACCATTTCTGTTCCTGTTTGAGAGCTCTTTCTATTGCTAGGATTTAAATAAAAAGCAAGTGGAACTATCAGGAAGGACTCAACGCACCAATAATTTCTTAATTTATTTTTAATTCCATATGATAGAAAATTGAAATTAGACAAAAGATGTAAGGCCTCCGCTCATCACTAGGGCAGCTGCAGAAGAACAAATTAACTAATGGTGTGATGTGATACAAACAGGAAACAAGAGTAAATATAAAACCTGAAAATTACTAGAAAAATTCTTGGTGCCAACAAGCAACTGACACTCTAAAAGAATTATTCTGGTGCAAATAAAAAGTCAATAAATGTGTATATACCCAGACATACCAAACTAAATCTGACATTCTGCTCTATGTAGATCCCACAGTTCCAAAACACTGAACTTCTTAGTTTTACAGAGAATTTTGTTTCTCAATCTCAACACATTTACGAGGGTAATTATAGAAGTCAAAGGTCAGACAATCTGATCAACAGTGAATCTCTGAAAATATAACATCTCCCAACTCTGAAAGCCTGCTAAAACTGTGAATTCAGATACTGCACCTACTCTGAAAACTACGCAGCCCCCACCATGCAGGTAGGTCTGATTTGTTTTTAAATCAGGGTAGGATGGATAGAGAACTAGTTCAGCCCTGAGCTGCGTTCTAGACCTAGAAGATGAATAAGCATTTTGCCGCTGATAACAACTTGCACTATTGCTGCAAGAACACAAGTTACACCTTGTTTTCTAGCTGCACTACCCTGCACTGTAACAGTGTCCCTGCAGCCAGGCCAGACACAGGGGACAGCAAGAAAGAGAAGCCAGAATTAAGGTGGGACAGGAACAAAGAGGACCATTGTGCCTTAACACTCTGGATCCAGCCAGTGACAGTCTTAAGCATATTCTTATTTCAAGCAATAGTTAAAATGAAGTTGCTATAATAAGAAAAAAAAACTGTTAGCTGGACACACAGGAACAAGACAAGACAAAGTTACGCACAGTAAATACAAAGCAATTAAGGGAAAAAATTTTTCATCGGAAATGACAGAAAACTAAATCAAGGTTCAAATTCAAAGACTTTTGAAGTATTTGGAAAAACAGTGTCTACTCCAGTCTACAGGTCAGAAATAAGACCAGATTTGTGGGATTCAGGTCTATTTAAAACACAAAAAGGTAGTAATTTGGTGGAGTTCCTTCTTCAGCACACAAAACAGTGAAAGCTCAATGACAGCTAAATCCTGTCACTTTTGATACTTTGAAGGAAGAAGTCAAAACGACACAGAGGTTAAATCAGTGAAGATAAAAGATAAGAAGGAACATAGTGAAGAGGGCTGGAATCTGATACATCTAACTTTAAGACATTTGATACACAGGCATGGGAGAAATGTCAGAGATGGAAGGTTGTGGCCTTGGAAAACAGGCAAGTAAAATTGTCAAGGATGTTGGAAAATAGTCCAGAGTGAGTCAGAAATAAAAATTCCATCTTTGAATCTGAACAGGTCTGAGGTTGGCTGGATACTAAAGGAATCATCTGGAGACAGAACTAGGGGAGAACCAGACTGGTGGGGAGGGGAGGGGGAAGCACTGGATTTTTGAGGCATTCAAATGAAAGTGTAATGTAATAAACTAGTGAGAGGGTGTTCAGATACACGAAATTAGGAAATAAGAGGAGGAAAAAAGGACAAAGTATAAAAAACCTCAGGATGACGGGTCCCTTAAAGACAGAGGAAAGAGAAACTCAGTTGCTAGTGAAGGAAAAAAGTCCTTCAATGAACAGAATGACAGGTATAAAATATATAGAAATAAGAGGGGCAAATCTGTACAGCTAAGAGGCAGAGAAGTTCAGTTCAGAAACAGATCCTGAAAATGAAGAACAACTTTGAAAAGGATCTTGTCATGCAAAAAATCAAGACTGAAGATTTTGTTTCAAGAATGAATGGAGAACTAAAATGAACAGCAAATCTGCAAAGCAAGCTCAACAAGAAAAAAAGGGTGAGATAAGAGTGGTTAAAAAGTCCATTTGGGAAGAGAATTAAAGCAGGCAAGGCAAAGTAGAGTCCAAAGTTGTGTTATAATGACATACTCTTCAGAGATATTCAGAAAAGCTGGAATGGAAATTAAGAAATTACAAGAAAAAACTGTCTGGATGGAGGAATGGAGGCAATGTGAGAAGCAACCAAAGATACCATGTATAGAGAACCAGACAGAGATGAAAATAAAGACCAGTGAGTCAAAAGAAGCGAGACCAATGAAGGAAGGAGGCAGCTGAAAAGATAAAGAAGTCAAAAAGGTTAATAGACTGGAGATCCCAAAAGGAGTGAGTGACAGGGTAAAGGAGAGAGAAAGAGAGATAAGCTGAAAGGGAGCAGGTAGTGATCAGAGAAAGGGAATTTAGAAATGAGAGATAATAAAGGGAACAGTATTTAGTAAAGACAAGGTCATGGGAATGATTGAGGCAGTGAGAAAAATCTGTCTGAAACTAGAAATCACAGGCATTGGGCTGGAAAAACTGGATGAAGAACAATGGATTAAAGTACTTATTGGAGGGGAAGCCTTGCCCATGGGGAGGGATAAATTTTGAGAAGACAGAAATGGGTTGAGTTTAGCAAAGTTACAAAGAAAGATGCAAACTAATGGCCACTAGGAAAACTAGACACAGAGGACTTCAAAATCATGAAGAGGGTAGAGCAGACAACAGGACCAATCAAGCAGAAGCAGCAGAAGACAGGAGCTGTAGAACTGTAGAAGTGAATATGAAAGGAAAACACTGTTTAAAAAGCATGAACTGCAGAAAAAGGGTACACAGAAGGGAGTCTAGTTTGAAAAACAAACTTAATCAGTATTTAAGTCATCTTCAGAAACATAAGTAGCACTCCACTTGGCATAGTCAGCACCTGTATTTCTCTCCTTTGGTAATCTTGCCAGAAAGGTTTAGTTACTCACCCAGACCAAGCCAGAGATCAGAAATTCAGAAGAGCAATACTGCCACTGTCTAGGTGATGTGGGGATATGGCTGGCTTGGAAAAATTTTGACTGTTAAAGAAGTACCAAAAAGTATGGAAAACATCATTTGGTATCTGCTATCCAGCACCTTTGCTTCCAGATTAAACTAACTCTTCACAAAGTAGACCTTAAGGCCTTTGTTGATTCTCCCTCACATCAACCTCCTGTTCCTAGAAACTCAAATACTCAATGCAGTGTTCACAACCAGCATTCAAATTCAGCCATTAAGATTCTCATCTCGCTGTATAACAGCAAAGATAAGAGATTAAGTAGACAGATTGTTGAAAACAAACATCACTGTGATTTTGGGTCCCATTCAGAGCTATCTGAGAACCACTGGGATAAGAAGTCCTTCTCCACTTCCAGGCCTCTGTCAAGAATTTCAGTCTGTGGCTTTCTTAATCATGAGCATGAATAAAACACCAGCCTTCTCAGACACTTCTAATACTGCATTTCATCTTCTGGTATACTGGCATGTTTTTAAAGTTTCTGCTCATTACAAAAAGACGACACACTTCTACTGCCTGCTCATACAACTGGTAGCTGGATCATTAGAGTGCAACAGAAGAGGGGAAAAAACCCACATTATTCTCTGCTACCAAACCAGTGACATACAGAAAGTATAAAAAGTGAGCTGAGCATATCATTTCTATATACGCTACTGATTGCTATTTATTCACGTGTGTAGATGAGGTTCACTCAAAATTACTGAAACTACATAAAACCCAGCGAACCTACAAACAAGAGCTCACAGGAGTGGGGCCATAATGGGAGCTCTTTGTTATTTTCATGCTTTACTACATGTTTTCACATAGCATGAAAATAATTTTAAATTTATTTTTAAATTTTAGATAAAAACCACTCCTTTGGGCTAATTGTAAATATACTGGATTTAGTATTTTTAGATAAACTTTTGACAAATAATACAAACAAGATTTTTTTTTATTGTACTATCTTTTGTTACAGTCAAGAAATCTCACCTAGAATCAACTACTGGAAGCAGTTAAGTTGTCACAAGACAAGGTAGCATCTACTGTAACATATATTATATATATCTAACAAGAAAAGTCTGAAAAAATATCATAGAAACACTATAATTTTTATATTGTATTTAGTATCTGAGTGTTTTATTTCTATTAGACTACTGCACAGCAGGGGAGTTCCCAAGACAAAAGAGATTTTATGCAGTGTCATTCAAAGCACAAAGTTCACTCCTGAAGCAAATTAATACCAGAGTATTACTGAAATAAAAGGAGGAGCTACTCAGACATTTTGGGTAGAAATGTAATGTTTTCTTTAAAGAAAATAAACACATAATAACATAGCTTAAAATAAATAGTGGCATTTGTCATCATCAACATATGAAAAAGAGAATGGTCATTTATTAAAGAAAATATTTTATTAGTATGTGGGACACATGGGAGTGTTATAACAGACTTATCACTTTCATATGTTACCAGGTGCTTTACTTTCGGGATAGATTCTACAGTCCCAATTATGTAAGCAGTTCTATTAACCCACATGGGTTTTTTAATTATAAAGTTTGGTACCAGAGTCATCTGTACCATTTGTTTTACAGATTTTAAATCAGGAACAACTATTTTTTTTCCTCAACACAAGATTTAATCATAAATATTAACCCCCCCCCCCCCAAAACCTAAAAAAAATTTAAATGCTTAAGCATGCACATTTGCTAATTCTTAACTCAGCATTTTTTTACTCTACATATCCTCTGGAGGGAGAGATATCTATTATCGGTTTCTTTCAGCGAAAGTTCAATACTTTATGCATAAGATAAGATACAAATAGCCTGATTGCACTGAGGGTTTTTTTCAGTGATTTTTAAATGTTCTAGCCCATTTCAGAAAAAAAAAAATGTATGAGTACTCGTGCATATTAACAGCTAATCCTGGCAGTCAAGCAAATATTGTGCTGCCTTTATCAATATAAAGCATTTCATTCTATGACATATGAAATATAGTTACAGAATATAGCCATCATTTTAAAAATTATATAATCAGATAATAAACAACAACAAATCTAGAGGTTGTAAGATACAAACCAAGGTTTCTCAAATACCTCTTCTCTACAAATTGCTCCACTCAAGTCCTACAAGATTAAGCACACACAGAAGTGAGAAGGAAAACTATGGTTTCATAGAATTCATTCTGGAAACAAATATTTAAAAAATATGTATTAAGATAAGCTCATGATCTGGCACATACTTTAAAAATTCCTGCATTTTGCCAAATACAATTTCCATACTATTTGCAGTTTTAAAAAATACAAAACTGGAAACAATCCTGACCTAGGTTGAACATTTCGTCCACAAACTCCACAGACAGATTTTTATTCTTTGAGCATTATATCAAATCAAAAAATTAAAGCTGCACAGAGAAACAAACAAGCAAAAAAAAAATCTGACCATGCAGGGAAGTGACTGCATCTAGAACATATACATGTATGTACATCCCGCTGCTTTTATTTGAACTAACTTCTTTTTACCCACCTTAAGGAAAAAGATTTAACTGACTGTAACAGCTTCTTAGCTGTTATCACTGAAAAGAATTATGTTTAGACAGTTCTGTATAAAAAGTTCAGTCATGAAACTCTAGAAATTTCATTCCACTCTCCATTTTTGCCACATTTAGAAACAAGGCACATTCCTTCCTTAACAATAAAAATATTATTTAAACACACTCAAAAAGGCACTAAGGTCTATCAAAAATATTCAGCATTTCCTTTTTAACTAATAAAGTATTTGTAACACAGTTTGCATATATATTTATTTCCCAAATGAGGGACTGGCAACTTTCTCTTAAACATAAAAGCTAAAATTCAATTTTGCTAAATATAAAACTAATTCTCAGGATACAGTATACAAAAATTATATATTTATGTAGAATACATTTTGTGTTATACTACAGTATTATATCTTTCCCAGAAGATTTCTGTATTTAAAAAAAACCAAACACTTTAAAATTTAAATACATTGTAAGGTCATTCAAATTATTTTAAACACAAAAAACTACAAACAGGGACATACACACAAACAGTTGAGAAGTTGTAACCTAAAGATCACATCTTTTAATCAGACCTGCTCAAATGACAGCCTCAGAAGAACCCTCTTTGCTACTAGAAGCATCTGCATGGTTTTAAGACTTAACTATGCAGACTCCTATTGCCCCAGGGCAGTGCTGCACAAATCTATTCAAAGCCACCAGATTCGTGAATCAACACCTTAAATTTTCCCAGAAAACCTCCAACAAGTGTTTCATGTGTATTATGACAGAATAACAAAACAAAAAGGGATTTTACAAAAATTTCAGCATGACAAATTTTCCTGAAACTATTTTTCCATCACACTTGGCAAGCGGAGAACTAATCCTATCACCTCTCTACTCTTACAGCAAGAACTGCAAACTACAATTCAATATAAAATACAATAACCTTCTCTAATAATTATGTTCCTCTCAGAACAAAGATTAAAATAAAGTTAACTGTGCTGATTCAAACTTTCCATAAATTACTATAAAGGTGAGAGATTCAGACATTTTGCTTCTGGATAATAAGCCTAATATCTGTATCATGTGCAAAAGTGCAACTGTGTTTTAGAACTGAGGCCCAACTGAACATAATTTTGATATTACAGAAAATAAACTTGAACCCATGTATCATGGAAAACAGTGGTTCTTGGTATCTTGAAATTATGCCTTACACCTTATTTAAACCTGTTGTACAACTGCAAGTCAGTAAAAAATACAAACGAAACCCCCAGAAACAAACAGAAAACAACAAAGCTTGTATGTAAATTGGTTTACGATTCAAAGCACAACGGTAAGCTTCAAATAATTACATTTGTGTAACACACAGAGGGGTGGGATGAGTTGTTTAAAATACTTGGTTATCTCTGCTCTCTCCCTCCTGGTCTGGCGTCAGTTCAGCTGCTGGCGGTGTGTGCGTGCATACGTTTCGCTACATCGTACACGTAGGTGATGTCTGGTCGCTTCTCGGGGTCCGGGTTGATGCACATATTAACTAATTGTCGCAGCTAGGGAGGGGAAACAACACGACAGGATCGTTGGCCTCCTTACAAGCAGTATTTGTGCTTTATCTAATTCAAATTAACAAAACCAGCGAAAATTAGCCCAAGAGCAGTTCTGCATAAGCCCACACTCAACCCTCCCTCTCCTGACACGCAGTTTTATGCAAGAATGTATGCAACGTGCTCCCAGGATTTTTACGTTTTGCACTACTGTGCACTAAAATTGATGAGCAAATTTAAGTTCTAAATCCTTTTAATGTACAACTTCAGGCATGCATTTAGTCCAATCACACATAACCTACAGAAAATTCCCATGTTTTTGGAGGGGTGTGCCTGCAAGCCTCAGAAGGCTGAGGCGAGGTAAATGAGGACTGCTTGTTCATTCACTCAGACAAGAGTTAGCCAGCAATAAATGGCATTTCTGCGTGACAGGTTCCAAGGAACAAAAGGCAGCGGTTCTCCTTCTAACACACAGTTAACCCGCAGAACCTCCTGCTGCCAGGAGCTACCAAGGCACACACATTCAGAAAGCAGCTGAGCAAATTAAACCCACTGTGGGCTATTTGTTATAAAGACTTCACCCCCGAGGAAATTTCTGAACTTAAAACTGGAGCTGGGGAAAAGCACACATTATATTGGCCCTGTTACTTCACTTGTCCACTGCTGAAGATACTATATTGGAATAAATAACCTTTGCTCTATATCCTGGTATTTATTCCTTAGGGCTAGATCATTTATTGTGTTCCTTATGTAAAGGACATAATTAACAAATATGTTCACAAAAGCCTGCAAATAAACAAATCACTACCCTAGAAAACCCTATGTTTCCACACAAACACCATAACTTAACGGGCCTTTTTAATGCACACATTCAGCAGAAGCAACCCCAAAGAGCTTCCCCACCACCTGGATACCTTTCATTGCCTTCACAAACTGGCAGGACAGTTGCAGGCTTTTCTTCCTCTGTTTATATGTCCAAGAACTTATGACATTAGAACTTAACATATTGTCTGGATAACCTTCTGATAGGGCATCTATTTTAAGTTGTATGCAAGTCCTAAGTGTTTTTTCAACATGGAAAATACCTCTTTCATGATGACTTACTAAAATGTTTACAATCTTTTGCGAAAACAACTTAACCAACTCTGAAGCTCTTCCTTTATGCTTTTTAGTAGTTTTGCAAAATGCTCCTGGATCTCCTTACTGCATTAGGGACAAGTGGGGAAGGGGAAGGACACTCCAAACAACACATTGTGATCCACCCTTCTATGCCAATATGTCAAATCTGGTTTGGTCTCCCATGCAGTACTGTTAGGTATGGTTATTGAAAAAAAATCTGTAATTATTGCAACACAGAGCAACCTCATCACTCTGAGTATTCAAAAGTAACACAGGCTGCCTCTTTAAACCTGCCATCAGAGAGCTTCCTTCCTACCTTTTATAAAAAGACCAAGAAGGATTTTAAATTATAATTCTACTCCTTTCACTTTTCAAAAGATTAATTTAAATGCATGGAAACAGGAATTCCTGAAGTTAAGGAAGAAGCATTGCACAGCACTATATAAAGCTTTGTCCATTAGCCCTTGCAGATAAACTGCCCACAATGTACAGGGATTTTGTATTTAACAACACAAAAACTATGTCACTAGACATCCCTATTCCCTGGCAAAACCAGCTTGCTTAATATTTAAAAATGAAACCATTAATTCTGAAGGTAGTGGTCAGTTTGCTGGATTGAAAAGAAACATATTAAATCAAAATAATCTGTAACAGACCTGCTATTTGAACCTTAAATATCTTAAATACATTCTGACTAATGGAGTTATAAAAGCCATCATATTGCTTCTGGCAGTCAGTAAATAAAATACAATGCCAGTGAAAAGAAAAAGTATTAGCCTGTAATAACTCACAAACATTTGAAGAACAGAATGATGGAAATCATTAGCTACTGTAAGAAATAATAATCGCCAGCATGTAATACAAACATGCAAAGCAAAACAGTCTCCTGCAGAAGAAGCAGGTGGGACACTGTAAGCAAGAGGCACAGTACAGTGCATTAGCAGGGATGAGCAGCTTGCTACGTAACACCTCAGACAGCCTGCACGGAAAACAGGAAAGACTGAGGAACATCCAAAACCACCAAGCCTGAAATTACAGTCAAATAAGCAAACATTTTGTGAAGAGAATACAGATGTAATTTATCTGCAATTTATCTAATCTTGAATGTATACATTTCTCTTTCTCTGTGAAGACTTCCATCTGTTCAACAGAACTGCATACAGTAAATAGTCTTTGTAAGCATCCTTGAGGGACTGAAATCTATAAAGCTTGCATCAGAGGGAAAGCAGAGTATTCTTGCTCCTGTTTTTCCCAGTTGTTTATCAATAACTTTACTGCATGTAGAACAGCAGAAATAGATCTTCAAGAAACTTAACCTGTGAAGCACACAAGAAACTTTGTTTACCTCCAACAGACTACTTCATGTCTTTTTAATTCTTCTCTCAGATTTTATTTTCTAAACTGGATGTTATAATCTAAAACCCCATTTCAGCCTCAAACTGCTTGTTAAGTCACTAAACAGTAAGCCTTCCTTCAGAGTTATTTTTGCACTTGTTAGAGAAGATTATAATTCCCAGCTTCAATAAAGTGGTCAAGAAGATTCATTGCTTAGAAAGACAGCGTAGCAAAATGGCATCATTACTCAAAAGTACATGTAAGACTTTAGGTCCTATTAATCCCTGTAGATACACTTGGAAAAAAAAAAAAATCATTCACCCACATAGTGTATTGACTGGTGGCTTTTCACAGCTTCTTATTTTTTACTCTCACTAAAATGCATATATAGCTACCGTTGTTAGAATGCAAGAAAAAATATACAAGAATCAGTTTACTCAGAAATTCTCTTCCCAACATAAGTGGTGAGCTCCATTAGTGACAAACCTTCACTATTACTGTAATAAAATAAACCACAGGGTCACAGACCTCTTAAAATGGTAGTCACTGCAATTACTACAAAATCTCTGTCCCCCTCCTCCCCTGGGGAGTCCAGAATCTCACTCAGTAAGGTCAGAATGCTGAGCTGGCTATGCTTGGGACAGTGCACAACAATAGTGCATATTCCTGAGTAATTTCAAAATCCTTGAGCTCTTTTGAGCCTTGTAATTGAACAGCAAACCCTTGGAAGAAGGTGGATAAATTTTGCTGTACAGGATGAAAACAGTTACATGGAAAGACAGTCTTTTGGGACTGAAACTGGGACCACACTGGATACTAATACTTGGTTATTAGCACTATTCCTTTACTCCTACAGGAATATCCATTTCAATAAACCTAATACCCATTTGTCAGTCCCTCTAGTATTAATAAAATTTTCAGTGTATCAGAAAAGCTCACCAGTATCATGGGAAGAGGCACTGGGATTCTAAAGTCAGACTATCATTAGAGATGGGAGAAATTTTTTATTACCTGGCACAGACTGTCCAATAGGCAGAGCAGACTTATGACTGAACTAGAGGGACCTCCTGTTGCATCCCCAAGCTGCAAACTTCTTTGGCTGCTTATTGTTCTTAACCTCCTCTGCACACTTAGTACAGTGACTGTCTTTAGCCTGGAGCTTAGCCTGACATTGGAGCAGCGGGACACACTTCCTTTAACTTTAGCAGGTTTTTCAGCTACGAAATAAATAATTATCACACAAGTCAGGAGGAGAGGAAAAGACAGAAATACGACAGGCAAGTACTCTGTGTTGCTAGCTAGCTAAAAAAGAAATTTTCATATAGGGAATTTTGGATGAAAAAAAACCACAAGATTATTTTTGGTCTGAATAGGAGACCTTCTTAAAGCCTTTTCTGAGTGCTTTTCTCAAGACCTTCTGCTGGCAACTAACACTATCATCATGGACCTGCTGGCTCATTCAGCTGTCACATCTGGGTAGGAGGTTTGCCAATGGACTTTAGAAGAAATGCACCTCAATCAAAGTGAAGATTTTAAAACTTAATCATGAAATTAATGTTATATTAATATTGGCTGAGAAGATTTTAAGAGTACTGATTGGGGGTGGCAAGGGAGCCCCAGCTTTGAATTCTCTAAAGCAGAACAGCTTTCAGTAAATGCTGAATACTTACTCTGAATACCAGACGTTTTTAACAGATATTAAAAAATTGAGATATCCAAAGTTATTAAGCATCTGAAAATCTTGGCTTGTGTCTCTACCACTGAAGCAATAGTTTGTGAAAACACATCTTAGACTATTAGAATTTCTAATCAAAGGTTTTCTAAAAAAATTACCCATCTGTCCATCTAAAGGTGCATCTTTCTGTCACACTATTCTTCAATGACACAGATGTGATACATTACTAATAGGTTGGTCTTATAAAGGATGCAAAATTTAGAAAAAATGTCACATCTTAAAACTCACTAAAATTTACTTACAAAAAGTTTCTCAGAAAAGCACCTGTCTTGTATTTTGTAATAAAAGTATTTACACTCCTATATTACAGGATGCAGAGACCAACACTGAGTGAAATTTTTCTTTCAGAAAATCTTTGTCATAAAAAATGAAGTGGGATTTACTGATCAGTGAACCCTGATCTTTACTGATCACTGAGTGTGCTTCTGACCTGGTTAAAGGTTTGACATTTAAATTTCCAGTACAGGTGAAACATTTAGGACAGTATCCTAATATGACAGATAACACTTGTTTCTCTTCTTTAGAGTTCTTGCCAGCAGTGTATTTTTTCACACAAGTAAAAAAAGGTCTATTTTGGTGCAATAGCTAATAAATGTGTGTGTACCACGTACCTTAGTGAAGGCACAAGTCTTCATATCAGAACAATGTTCCCATTACAGTTTCCATAGCTGATGACTTCTTTTAAGTAACTATTTTCTTACTTATCTTGATACCTATAATAGTTCTGATTCTCTCATTATCTTTTAAAATAACTTACATGTATTTTGCAAATAACTGGTTTATCCACCGTGCACAAGTACGTCTGCTTTGAAATAAACAGAACGTAACACGTTGTGCTTTGCATCTGTTTGCAACACGAGAAACTGTACAGATGTAAGGAAAAGGTGGAATCTCTTTCCCCATCCAAACTCTAAGACCTTCTATCTGGGCCAGGCTTTGATATTTGCCCCTTGGCTGGGAATCCACATCTCCAACTTCACACTTAGCTGCAGCGAAGTAGCCCTGCAGGCAGGCCAACTTCAACGAACCACTAGTGGTATCATCATTAAAATCCTGCTGAAGGTCACCATGGAAACCGCCTGCTGAGGCTTCGCTGCTGCACTCGGCATCTCCTAATCAGCTACCATGTGAAATGCAAATTCAGACAGTCTGAAAATTAGTCAAGAAGAATAGAGGATGAGGATGCAGATATGTGAAATATTCATGCGCTTCATGGAAAAAGGAAGACAGCATGAATGACACAACAAAGAACGGCCCCTGACATTCTTGCTATCATTTTGCATTATTGTTCACACCCTACTGTATTTCTAGGCCCCCAGTTCTGAAGTTGGTTATATGAACTGCCATATTTATAGTCTGCAATAAATAATAATTAAAAACGGCCAAGGTAAAATAACTAATTGGAAAACCCACAAAGCGGTATAGTGTATAAATTACACAATAGATCGTTATTTCATCCTTTGTAACATCACCCAATTATCTTTTTAAGTCCAGTTTGTTTCATAAAAGGGGAAAAATTGTCACTATAAATACAAAACAAAACACTGAGCAGTAATCTTTTATTAATAGTCCAATCCCTGTCTTTGAATGCAAGAAAATTTAAGGTTGAGAATTAGAAATCCCTACTCTATAAATGAAATTGTATAATGCTTTATGTTTATTTGCTTTTTCGAAGTAATCTTTAATTCATGTAGGCTCAATTCAATTAGAATTGGTTACTAATACCTGTTCTTTGGTTTACAGCTTCTATCAGTTTGCCCTGTTCTTTTCAAAGTGGGAAAGTGCCTCAAAACTGGCATCTCAGAACGTTAACAAGCAAGCATTTATATTTTTCCATTCTGTTACACTAAGAAAGATATTTATTTTGTTTAGTTTCTTTTCATTTTATAGCTAAAAAAATATTCCTCCTTAAATGCACTAATGACAGTAAGAACTGTTACCTATCAACTTAAAACAAACACTGTTGCGATATGCATGAGTATATTGTTCAAATTCAATTATATTATGTCTGCCTATACTTCTCTGAGATCTACTATTAGTGTTGTCAAGAACCACTCTTTCTTGCAAAAGAACTGCCATTCAACTGTATTGAACAGCACACTGCAGTTTTATAATGCAGACAAATGGGAACTAAATTCATTTTTACTAGTGAGTTACATTATATCTATTTTAATGCAGGCCCCCAGAGAACCAAGGGCAGTGCACTAATTTACTGTGCAACATAAACTTGTTGTGCTTTTAGAAAAGCATGCTATAGATGTAAGACTCCCATTTTGGCATGTGGAACATACATCATTGTGCATTCTGGGAAAGCATTTTGTCATACTTGCAAGGAAGCCCAATGAAATTAAGAATCTAACAGTGTGACGTTTCCATCATTAATACTCTCAAATATAAATCATATGAGAGATTTGTTTTGACAGGAACATTTGAGTGAGTTCAACAAGCAAACACTTATGGGCATAATCTGCAAATAACATAAAATCACACAAGTTCATTTATTTCCCTGGAAGCGTGCCAGCTTACATAAACTAAAGATCCAGTCCATGAAAAGGAAAATTACTTACTTCCTCTGAATAGTGATCTGAAGGGAGAGGTGGGTAGTCACACTGTTCTATCTTCTTGCACAGAGAGTACAAGTTCATTTTATCACCATAAAAGGGACTCTGCAGCGCAGCCATCTGTTTAAAGAAAATGCACAGTTTTCTTTTGTGTTTTTAAGTAAACCTATTTTGTCATAAAATCTGTAATACTAACAAATCAAAAGTGATTCTTAATGACTTTCAATTCCCTGCTTAGATAACGTGTTGCAGAGCTAAAAACAGAAGTTCCAAAACTATTACTGTAACCAGTGTGTGTACTCGTTCTATGTCATATAATTACAGCTGTCACAGTCCTTACACTGCAATATTTGAATTGCACACCATTAGGGTTTTATTCATAGAGTATGAAGAAATACCCAGTAGTTTATGATAGTGCTGTGAGTGTGGAGGGTCCTTGCACCACGAGGGAGACCAAAAAAACCCCAAAAACATACTTTTCCTTTGAAAACATTTTGGAAGAAAACATGACTTATATGAAAACATTATCTGACCCAAAGCAATGCAGTGTGTATAAAATGCTGGGTAACGGCAGTAGGAGATTTTGTAACCTTCCACAGCCATGACACTAGACTGCCATACAGATGGGGGTTTTTTAAAGCAAGAAAACACTATCATCTATACTTTCAAAAAAAAAAAAAAGACCCAAAAACTTCATAGTTCAGGATGTTATTCAAAAAGATACTTTAAAAAAAATCCCCAAACTTCATCAGAAGTTCCAAACTGGTACCTATGGCTATAATTTACAATTAAAATACAAAAATGAGAAAGTCTGTTGCAGAGTGCTTATATAAATGACAGCTTAAAACCAGCATTAGTAAACCTACCCTTTATTTCCAGACAATGTTGCAACTTGACATTTAAGGTGGAAACAAATGCTATGGTTAGCTGCATTAGAAATGTAAAAATTCATTTAAAATCTCTCCTTTCCGTTCAAAACCTTCGAAATCTTTTAACTGCAGCAGCCTGAATGCTGCTCTGAGTGCAGAGCTGCCCCAAAGTCAGTCACCCTTTTCTACATGTGCTAATAAGTTTGATTTTGGAAGGACAATGTGTACATTCCCCAGACAGGCAGAGTGTGTGTGAAACACGCTAGTCCATGCTGTGCTACTCAGTGAGCTTCAGCAGGGACAGGACAAGCTGAAAATGGCTCTCATCTGTCTTGTGGTCTTCCAGATAGCAGTTTAACTCTTTCATGTCTAAGCACCAACATCACTGAGGGAAATGTATGAAGAAAATTACCAAAATTCTCTTACATTTACTTTGTATCTATTTAAAATGCTTTCATATAATTCAGTACTTTTTCATATTACCTTCAAATAAGAATAAAAAATTGTAAAGCTCCCAAGACAAATATAATGCTACAGTTCCATTCTAAACTCCTCCCAAAAATTCTGTAACTGTATTACCAAAATAATGTTAATTTTTGGATTTACATGACATTGTCTCTTACCTTAAAAACAATGTTAAAAATGCAAGCTAAAGACCAAAAAAGAAAAGAAGGGGGGGAAAAAAGAAAAATCAACTGCAGGGTCTGTACACATGCAGAAATTCTAAATAAATGCACAGATACTCATTTTCGTACTTTAGGTGTTCATTAAAAAGTACTTTTGTTTGAATGCTGCCGAGTGTTAAAAAAATTTCTGAATGTCCCCTAAGGAGTTAAAACAGGAATACTATATTTTCATGCATCTCCTGCTTTGACAGATGAAAAATGTCAACTGTCCTGTTTTTATTTTCAAGCTTTTGCACTATTCATCTGGTTCATTAGTGCATCTCGCTGCTGCCCCTGACAGCTGCTCGCCCTCTCCTCCCAGCAGCTGAATTTTTCAGGCTAATTTGATCCTCCACACTGAGACGATCACTAGAATGATTGACTTGCTCCCTGACCTCCAGGGTCTGACTTTCCTGATTAGTATTCTGGGGGTGTCTGAGGGACGAAAGCCCACTGTCTGTCTTCAGGGCTGGTGGCAGCTCGCTCTCTCTTTTTTTTTTCCTTTCTTTTTTTTTTTTTTTTTTTTTGAACTGTAAGCCACCAACCTACAACCCTGTAAGGATGCAATTGCTACGCTGAACAATAAAAGGAAATGTGTAAGACCTACTTTTCCATGTAAAGGTCCGTGTAGCAAAAGCACAGCATCTTGATTTTAATTAGTAAAGTCTACTTTGTTGCATATCAATTAAAACTCCAGAGGTAGTGTTTTTGAGGCTTCGGAAATACCTGGGGCTCTAAAAAATTCAGACTTTAAAACACACTTCTAATAACCTTATTGGCCACACAGCATTGAATAATACATTGTAATATGCATTAGAAATAATAATTTTTAAAAACAACACGCATTATAACAAGTTAGTCTAAAATTAAAACATAACTGAAAAGAGTTTAGCAGCAATTAAGCATTTCTTGAGATGTGATAAATCTGCCACAGCTTTTCTCCTGTTAACCTGGAGACAATCCAGAGTACATATGAGCACATATCACCATCAAATCAACATAATAAAACATGCTCAAATGCAGGCAATGGACATATCACAAAAAGACACCAAGCACAAAACTGCAGATAAAAAGAATACGATGCATTAGTCCACACAAGTCTTGGAAGAACCTCAAGTAACCACTTTCAAATAATTTTAAAAAAATAATAATACTGAGAAAAACGCTGAGCATGTATTTTGAGTTTGCTATATCTAAAATTTCAAAATTACATTTCAATGCTCCACAACAAAATATGAAAACCCATCACAAACATCTGGTATGTTGAAGAATTAACTAAACGGAATAAATGCACTTCTAAAAAAAAAATTAAAAGCTAAAATTGAAGACACTGCCATAAACTGTAGGTTTATATCAACAATAAGGATCCTAATTATTATTTTATATTTACAATAAGGAAAACAAACACCATCATACCAACTTAAATACCATCCCAGTAAAACTTCTAAACTAAATCAAAGGAGAATGGTATTTCAAGATGCTGGTTAATCAATGGAATTAAGATATTTAGCTATTTTGAAGTTATTTACCAGATCAAAGAAAAATGTAATATTCACATAGGTGTTTAATATACTGTACCAGCATGAAGGCAGGAAGCTTAAAAAAAAAAAATCTTTAGAAAAGTGCTACTGATTTCTGTCCAGCAATTTAATTTCATGTAACATAAAAGAAAAATTAACCTTAAACCATGTTTTTTTTACATAATGATTACTTATTCAAAGGTTTTATTTGTTTGCTTCCAGATTTAAAAATTACTAAGGAAAACCAATGAGTGGCAAAGAAGTAGCAATACTGAAAAATGCTCATCTACCTTGTGTTACCTTTGGGCTTGTGCAAGTGTGCACAGCACTGAAACCGATGGCAGCTGCCATGGTCAGCACTGAGGAATTCCAACACAGGATTAAGTTGTCGTTCAGAATTTAAACTTCTAAATGCTATCAGCTACAAGACATCATTCCTATGAATCATCCCCAAGGTTTAGAAGCAATAGCCATACATAGATCTGCAAATTGCAGAATTGCAATAAAGCTATTTGCTCTTAATATTCAAAGCAGCATGTCAGTGGTAGAAAGTAAATGAATATTACTGGAGATAATTCACTAGTAGTAACATACAACTTTAACAGGCTGAAAACGTCTTCTACAAAATGCTAGAACAAGAGGTGCTGATACTGTTGAGTATGTGTTAAATGAGTTCTGCCGACTCACTGAGGCAGGTGGCTTTCAGGTAAACAAAATGTATATGACTTGAGTATATTAGTTTTTACCTGGAAGATGACTAGGAAGACTTCACTGCCATTGAACCAAATTTTTTTCCAGCATTCTTCAACACAAGTGTTCATTCTTTGGATCAAGAAATGACATGCAAAGATCTTCGAAGACATAATTGCCTTGGAAGCCTGTTTTTAACAACTTCATCTGCCTCAATTTCAATTTGCCCTGTATCTTTGTTTTCTCAGAATATAATATTATTTAAAATTATGTGTCACCTACCAATCTTAAATGCAGAAATACAGAAATCAAACACTAATTGCAGTTTAACCAATTGTACAAAAATAGAAAAGTTACATATGTCTGTGCAGCAGAACTCATTGCCTTGAGAGATAACCCAAGCTAGGAGTAATAACTGAACATTTTCTATTGTTTTACTTAGATTTTAAATATTTATAAAAATAAGAATATTTATAAAAATAAGCAATTTGTATAAAAGTAACTTATTGCAAAGAATCTATCATGAAAACACATAGAACAATTTTATATGTGCTTGCTATTATTCATTTATTAACCCTTCAGTTCATTTATTAATCCTTCATTGATATTCATTTATTAATCCTTCAGTTAAACCCAATCTTCATCAAATTGCTACAAGATCTTTGTAGCAAGCCCAGCAAAAGGCAAGTCTCAAGTAACACACATGTAAAAGTACTCCACACACTGAAGTTACATAAGGGGAGTGGGGGGGAAGGGGAAAGTACAAGAGTGTTATTAAGTTCACTGTATATATCAATATTACCTCATACAGCAGACAGCCTAGGGACCAGATGTCAGATTTGAAGTTGTAACCATTTTCATGTATCCTCTCTGGAGACATATAATAAGGTGTACCAACTGCAATAAACACAGAAGTATTTTTGAATGAAAATTTCTGTTGTTACACATTAGTAAAATTAGAGTTTTCCAGGCTGAAAAATATTTTTCATCTTCTATTTCTCGTTTTGCTATCACATATAATTTCAAGTCTTATTTATGACACTTCAGTTTGACAGAAATACATGAATTAGATATCTATTTCATCCAATACAGCTTTATTTTCACTACTGATACCTAATTACCAGAACTATTCAGTTGTAGAATACTTCCAATTTTTGCTTTTAGAGAAGCTCAAAAGTAATAAGTTTCTCCTGAAGAGAATCCGGGGAACATACCAGACACACACACATCCCTGCTTCTGTTCCAAGCTGTTATCACTGGCTAGAAACAACAGCTAGAAATTCTCTTCCATGGGTTGAATTTCATTATTTGTTTTGAAAGTTGTCTGCTCTTCCTTTTGAGAATATAAAAATCTGAAAAAGCTACTTTTGAAACTAATAAACAATTTAGTTTGAATAGCTGGAATTCAAACTGAGCCTGAAATCCAGGACCTTCAGAGATGAAGGCAGGAAAACCTGTTAGCCCAGCAGAGGCTGAAGTTCCCATAAGTGACTTGGCCATTTACTGCAGGACTCAACTCCATGAGGGCTTTTCAGCTCCCAAACCTGTGCCTGTCCCAGCTTAATCCTGCCTGTGAGCTGTGGGCTCTGGAGACATCTGCTCTCTTGAAAAGCAGCATTCACTAGGACTGCCCCAGAGTTAATTTACATTGGATACTCCAGGACATCTCTCCTCTTGATTTTAATCAAACTCCACCCATCTTTATTACTTGGAAGAGAGAAATTCTGAGAGATGTTTCAGCTCCGTAAAAAAATGCCATTACAAAAAAAAGTATCTGAGTGATGCATTCTTAAATGACTGAGCAATAAAAAAGAAGAAGCTACGAAAAATAAGGATAGTAGTAATTTTGGTGCATTGTTTCTGAACCTTCTCCCTGTATCCCCCAAAATGACTGCCTAACAGCAAAAAGAGTCACAGATCTATGTAGAATTTTACTTCAATTTTGTTTGGAATACGTTCTTAACCACTGAATCCTGATGATGAAAACCAGCTGAATTCTGTCAATTCAACGTAAGTTGATTTTATTTTGAAACCAAACACCTTGCAACACCAGAGATTAAAATCAGCACTCTCACTACAAGCTACAAAACTTAAGAGTATGAAGGTCATAGTACTTTATTTAACACAAAGATCTTGGAACACTTCTACCCTTCTGAATAGACGAAGCTAATTCAGAATTGATCTCTGTGTGAATGTTAGAAATGGAGATACAGTGAATACATAAGTAATTCCACATGTGAGTAATCAGGTTAATAGTTTTAAATTATCAGATAGATAATTTTACTCTAATCATTTCCAAACGTTAAAGGTTTTGCTCTGACAAGGTGCCTTACCTTTCTTAGGGAGTTAAGGAGGAGGGAGAAGTACTTTCCTACTTGAAAGGCCCAGCTCAGACAGGGAAACCTTGTACCACCTTATCTCAGATCAGGACACTGCTGCTGGTAACCCACAATTTCAACTGATCTCGTTCTCGTCAGACAATACTGAAAATCCATATAAACTGAGAATGTGCTTCTGTAACACAGGCAAGGACAGAGGTCCTCAGATTGTATCCTACAATGGATCTGTCCCGCTAAATACTTTGGGGGAGACTTCTAGCCTCCAGAAAGCAGAGACTTTGCAGCCTCTCTCCTTCAGTGCTGAGGAATCACTGCAGCTCTGAACTGAGATTGCAAGTGATCAAGAGCTTAAAAGGAGAAAGGCTGGGGAAAGGCAACTCCAAATAATGGATTACTGCAGGAGACATTTAGTCTCATGGGATGTTTGTATTCACTCAAGAGAGGAATGGTCAAGAGGAATGGTTCTTTTCGCTGTGAAAGAATACACAGGCAGATGGGTAGGCTGCAACAACAGAACTACCAGAATATCCAAAGCAACTCTGTTTTCTAATGTATCAACAGCTGTACTTTAAAGGGTGTTTAATGACAGATATCTTAACATTGGAAACTGCAATTAAACAACATTTGGCATGATGCAGCTTTCATAATTTTATTATCCTTACTGTTTTACTTCCCTGTTGCATTTATTTTCTTTAACACCCCAAGGACTTGTGAGCTTGGACACCTCTGAAAAATTTCAGCTGCATCTTGCACCCATTAATTAATGCACTGGTTTCATATATTCTGATGCTTTGTTGGCAGAACTCATCTAACAACAAAAAAATAAGTTTAATAGTAATCTGGTTGTTCACTGGTTCCAGCAGCAGTGCCTTTGCTGCTCTGAGATATCACACAAGTAGCTGGCAGTGAGTAATGTGCTAGAAAGAGGCTTCACAGAAACCACAGGGGGCAGCTGAAAACATAGAGGTTTGAAGGTTCATAGTCTACCAAAAGCAAAGGTAATTTTAACCAGTAGCTCTGGGAAGCCTGCTGATACATTAGGGGTCTGATATGACTGTGAAAGATTGATGATAGTGAAAAGGAAGAACAAATGTTACCATTTTACAGCATTTAGCCTAGTGTAACACCTTCACTGCAATGCAGCCTGAAGCCCCTGATGACCAACTAGTGAAAGGAATTGAAATTACCTATGTTAGTCATGGAATCACAAAAACAACTTGAAGATTCAGACATCATTACTACTTGTAAGCTGTTTTTTAACAGAACATGACACTAAAGATTCATAATTCTGACATTCAGGAGCTACTGAAAGCACTGCAATGATCCTTTTAACACGGTGAGCAATCTAGGGACATCACTGTGCTGCTGGCAAGCAACTACCACTTGCAATTGTACATTATGTTTCCTTCCTGGACTGTTTTTTTCTGTTAAGTGGAATACAGCATCCCAACAGCATAGAGATCGGCAACTTCCTGACTTCATTTACTCATCTGAAGATACAGAAGTGGGATAATACAAGAAAAAGACATAACCGATTGAGGTGCCTATTTTTTTAAGAAGAAAACTGGTAACTTTAGTGTTCAGTTCCCCACATTTGCACATCTCTGATAATCTGCAGGTCTGAACAGTAAACTCCTTTAAAATGGCTAAGGTCAAATACAGTGCTTCCTCAGATTCTGCTGCTGCTCTGGAGCTCCCTCCCTTTAAAGATACTGTAGATCCAGAAAGTGTTGATTCTATACTCAAACTTTCTGCTGTTGGGAGAGGGAATGGACATAATGGAAACGGTGGTTGATAGAGAGCAGGAAGTTGGATTTGAAGGATCAGAGGCAAAGAATCCATCATGAAGAAGGGAGTTATGATATAAACAATCCATCTTATTACCTGCATAAACACATAATTCACACCACAGTTGAGTTACAGTGTGTTCACTTAAAAACTGAGTGCATCAACCAGCGGAATGAAATGCAGTAAATAGGTCTAAATACTATCAAGCTAGGAGAGAAATCTGCCTGGAAAATGTTAAATCTACTCATACAAAACAAAGTAATGGCTGACTCAGAAGGGGTTTATCAGCCTATAGCTTTAAAAAAGGCCAACCACTGACACAACAAATTCTCTAAGACATGGCACTTCACAATGTGGTTTAGTGGGCATGCTGAAGGTTGGGCCTGAGGGCCTCTGAGATCCTTTCCAACCCTAATGATTCTGTAATGTTTGGGGTTTTGTGCATGTTTAATACAGGTAGAGGAGATTTCCAAGTCAAGGGCTCATCTTCAGCTACCGATATAGGACCTAAAACACCACATTTATCCAAAGTAATTCTGCAACCTAGCCCACGTTATGCAAATATTTTAACTACAGAAGTCTCTCTATAAACATCTTGGGTTATTTTATAATGGAGCATTGTACCAGCACAACAATTTATCTTCAGCTTTCAAACTACTGTAAGAGATCTCTGTACATAAAATAAGATCTGCTTTAATGCAACTTCTTTGATCACTGCAATTAAACTGCTGCAGATTTCCCTGCCAGCCTTCTTGTACACTGAGGGTGCAGGTTCTCAGAAGGGTTTGGTATCAAAGTGGAGTTTATTCACAGAATGGTGCTGCACACCACCACCTCAGCACACCCGCTGCTGGGTTAGAAATCCACACACAGGAGGAAAGGAGAGTATTTACACATATTTTCATGAGGTATTTTATTCCTCACAATCTGCATGAGTTTATAGTTAAATCCCTCATAACGTAGCTCTATGCTTGGGACAGCAGTGTCATGGAAATGACAGAAGTTGTCAAACCAAGAAGAAACACCGGAATTCAATACAGACGATCCTTTGCATTCAAGCATTTTAAGAAGATTGCGGATCTGCTGCTTTGCCCTGCAAGAAGGTATTGACATCCTGGTGGCAGTGCCTGCCTGGGCAGCACACTGTGCAGCTTTATAGCACAAGCATAGCAGAGAACTGAAGTTATTCTTTTTGTAATTGAAACACTGACATATGGACTATTTTTACATCCACTGAATGGCTAAAAAAGAATGTTTGCATGTTTCCATGAGCTGGCCTTAGAACTGCCGTGTCTCTGAAGAGTGTAAGGCCTGGCCTTCAGCCATTAAAACAACTACAAAAAAAAACCCCTAACAGAGTCATAGGGAAAGGAATATGAAGCCTTCGCTGAACCATATTCCCCTTCCTAATATAAAGTCTGCTGAAAACAAGAAATTCTGTCATGTTTGTATGCAATCAACAATACCAAATGCCTCCTTTCCCTCTGCACTTTTGGAAGAAAGATTTCCTATTTTCAAAAAGGTATATACACTTGACACAACAGAAAAATCTACCTCTTGATAAGGCTGTATAGAAAGAGTTAAGAATATAAACTAACCCTGTCCAGCTCAGTTCATTTGTTTCAAATGGACCATCAGTAAGTATTCTAATTAAATCAGTATTATTCATAATTAGCAGTTAGAAGCTGTACCTAATTAAAATTTTAGTACATTTCTTTATCTCTGAAAGCCTGAATCTAGTTTGCTACTGAAATTTTTATAAAGCCTGTAAACAAGTATAAATTGCTACACATATGTTTGTAATTCACTAGGTTTTGTGCACCAAAGGTTTATAGAATCATAAAAAGGTACAACTTTGAAAGAAATTTCAAGAAAACCAGCATCAGAAACTGCAGAAGAAATTAATTTTAAGAAGTGGTCTCTGTTAGTGACATGATAAATCAGAGTCACTATCTCCCCTGTAGCCTAAGTTAACAGCTGAAACAAACCTTTTTCCTAGGCTGAATTCTGACATTAGATCGTAATTAAGAGTGAAATGGGAAGAGGAGACAAGGAAAAAAGAAAATAAATAGCAGCTCCTCCACCAGGATGCAGCACCCAACATTAGAAACAAAGCTGCCATCCTCCCACCCCCCCCATTCCCTGGACGATTCTTCATCTGTAAAAGATGATCTTTAAAGGGCTTGGGGGTTTTACACTGTTTTTAACTCTGCCTCAGTCTTCAGCTTTTTAAACTTCTAGCTCAGTCTTTGCAACCATTCCCCTACCACGAGCTAAAATAATCCAGGGTTGAGGCAGTTTGTTCCTCTTTAACTTCCTGACTTCTGTCTCAGAACACAAATCTAACTCTCCCACCCTCACTGCAGACTTCTGCCTTTTCTGTGAGCTCCTAATCCACAGATTAGGATTTACATCTCCCTCTTCACATCTTTTGTCCATTTGCGGACAGTAGCAGGACCCAACCACGAGCTGATCTCCACAGTGCTACCAGAGACGCCCACTGGGCAGCATGAACAGCAGCACTTGAGATAAAACACTGCCACATCCTCATATCAGATCTTCAGTGTGGAACCCAAGCACATTTCCAGTTCGGTCTCACCATTTTGCTGTCGTCTTCTCTCTCTTTTTTTATTAATGCAACATTGCACATTTGTGTCTGAGGTTCACCTCAGTCCTACTAAGATCTCAGCAGTTACTGGTTTTGACTATGCCAGTACCATGCACCAAACATGGTAAAAAACAGGAAGGCACAAAGGAGTGACCAAAGGCTTTCTGGAACACAGGGAAGTAAAAATCAAAAGTTTCCCTTCTAAAATATTTTTTCAGCTGTTAACACAGGTATCACCCACACCTCAAATATGGTACAAACATGCCAAAGATCAGTCCTCTCTTCTTCCATGTTCTAGGGTAACTGGGAAAACTTAAAGTTAAATTAAGAGATGAGGATAAACATGGCATATTTTAATCTGGGAAGTCTGCTATTTCATAGTCTAATTAGAAACATCAATATCTGAACAAAAACAATTCTTTGTGTGTCCTCCAATGGCTCTAACATAAGCACTGCAAGTATTACTTCATCATTTTTAGGAAACACTTGTTCAGAGACAGAAATGTACATTAGATGATTCAAACAAAGTGGGGGAAAACCCAGTGACCTGTAATGCTAAAAGTACTGCCTCAGTACTTACAGCTTTTCTGTATTTGTCCATGGTGCTGACCTTTTTTTTAATTATTATTATTATTATTTAAGAAGACCTTTATGACCACGTTTTTATTATTGTTTAAGAACAGCTTCAGCTGGATCTAACTGTTTTCTTCCTCCTCTTGAGTGGGCACAGTATTTCCACCATGTAAAAAAAAAAAAAAAAAATCTACCTGTCCACCACCCGTACCTCAGAGAAAGCTTACCTAAAGAATGTGCAGCTGTTGTTTTGGAGCTGAAAAATCGACCAAGTCCAAGGTCTCCAAGCTTTACTACTCCTGTAGCTGTAATGAACACATTTGCTGGCTTTATATCTGAAAGAAAAATAAATTAAATTTTAAAGTCACAGGAAGGTTGCAAGAAAAGCTACTGCTCTAATAATAGACCAAAAGAAGATTTTATTTACAGCTAATATTGGTAAAATTTAACAGTGGTGTTCAGAAAGAATGAGTCTGGAATTTAGAACTTCAGCTATTTTAATAGTACAAACATCGCTCAAGCAAGAAAATCAAGAGCCATGGAAAATATTTTCAAAAAATCCCAAGCAAACAAACCACCAAACCCCCAACACTCAAAGCCAAGCAGCAGATATAAGGCAGCTCATTACTACTTTATATAAGCTACATAGAAGGTCTTGCATTAGAACTACAGAACCTCTTATTATGTCGAAGTAACGGCCCAGAAATGTTTTCAAGCAGTGTAAAAGATTTTTCATCACTTTTGCTGTTCACATAAACCACAGTGACATGACGTTATTCATTTGAAATAGGTAACTGATTCTCTAATAGCAGGTATTAGAAAAAAAAAAAAAAGCAAGTTTTACTCAGGAGAATGGTTATTTGCACTCGTCAATGGAACTGGGCTAATCAAGTAGAAACAAAGAAAAATAATGATGTATACCCCAGACAGTTATTTTTCACAAGTAATATTCAGTTTAAGTTTTAATCCAGTCCCTTAGAGACAACAGCACAGACTTTTATTTTATGGTTTTTAAACAAGGTACCTATCCTGTTTCTAAATAAACTGACCTGTTATTTGTTTGGCAAGGGAGTCTAGCTCATACTCAGCTCAAGAGCAATGCACTGTGGCTCCAAACTTGAAGAAAATCACTTCACTTGGATAAGAGGGGATTACAGTTTGCATAAATATGGGTAGAGTGAAAGGAGTGGTTAATAACCCTTCAAACACCACTGGTTTCAGGTTCCCAATAAAAGAGATACAAAACCTTGTAAGCTTTAGAGAACAATACAGAAGCAATTACATTATGCTGCTATCTGACCTAGTTTTTGGGAGTTTGGATCACCCTTTGTGTAACAGTCCAACAGGGACATAGCTAAACTTAAAAATAGCTTTAATTGTCATTGGTTTTGGTGTGTAACCATGGAATCATTAGATTTGCCATATGTTTGCCAGAAGCTTCCAAGTTAATATTTCATTTTAAGGAACTTAAAATATCCTTTTGGTTTCGAGTTTAGCCATAGAAGCAATAAAGGAAGATACCTGTACCCTATGGAAGGAATCTGTAATTTTATGTCCTTTTCTTTGTATCATTTGCACTTGCAGTCATCTGTACCAATGCATAAAGGAAAAAAAAAAAGGAGAATCACAAGGGAAAGCTGTTTACAGGGGCAGGGGCATCTAAGCTGATCTGCTGAAGGGTGCAAGATTTCCAGCTGCAAATGACAAAGCCCAGCAGAGAACGAGGGGCTGCTGCCTTCAGACAGCTCTGCATCCCAGCAGAAGGAAGCCACCAACCTAAGACATCCAATTCCCCCTGAAGCCAACGAGACAGCTCACATACAACTCACAACCAGAGGGATTTCCAAGGGAAAAAAAATTGTACATCTGAGAAGCAGCTCTACTATGATCTGTTTTCCTCAACTCAGAGTTACAAGGTAGAATGAAGATAACACACAGAGGAGACAGCAGTACAGAGGTCTAAAATGGGCCAAGGAGGTTCAGTACCTGACAGGGACAGCTGGCAACTACAAGGGCTGTTGGGACACGGTACCTGACACAGAGATTGGGTTAGTGGTAGTGGAGAGGAGCAGACAATTGGAGGAAACACTCAGAGCTGCACATAATCCAGCAGATAAGGGACTGGGAGAAGGGCCTGTACCTCACCATTCGGCATGGCGGGAGGCAAATACTTTTGTAAGACAACCAGGTGCAAGAGGTGGAAAGAATGGTTGTGCAAGAAGGCAGGTAACAACAGCTGGGGCAAATACAGAAGAAAAAGAACAGGACAGAAAATAAGAGCCAGAAAAGTCAAGTAGCACGTGGCAGCGTCTCCATCGCTTACAGAACTATCACTTCTTTTGAAAACTTGGTATCACAAGCCATGGCTGCAAACAAATGCCTACCACAACAAATGTACAACCACAAACTTCTGTCACAGTTTTCCATTACTTATAAAACGTTACAGAAACGTACATTGTGTCAGCTGTCAAAATTGATTCCAACCAGCTTAATTCTCACATAGTAAAAGGTTTAGTAAGGACAAATCATCTTTGATCCTGTATTACCTCTATGCATAACACGACGAGAATGCATATGTTCCAAGGCACTGCAAAGCTGAACAAAGTACTTCCAAACTGTTCTTTCAGGAATCAGCCTCTTCTGTTTCTTAAAATGCTTAAAGAAAAAAGGATGGACAGTGAATATTAAAAATGAAAATTTTCATAAAATGACTGGAAAAAGACTAAAAATCCTTTATTAAAAAAAAACAAATACAAGAGGCTAACAACCTAATGAGAAAGGTTTAATAAAATTTCTTGATACAGAAAGCTTTTCCCTTAAATATTAATACATGTATCATCAATGTATGTGTTTAGTCAGTTCACATACAGAGCTACAAATAACATTAATGCAATAAAACTGCTGTGCCAAAAAGGGATTTAAACAGTATTTTCCAATCCTCATTGCTGGATTAATGGGGTCAGAGTAGTCTAGCATGAAGTGGACACAGAACAAATAAAGGTCAGATATAAAGATATGTGCCACAGAACTTCCCAAACTAAATACTTCCTTACACCAACACAGATTTCCGTACCCTCATTTTCTAAATAAAAGAAAAACACAACAGTAGTGACACACAGTCACAAAGATCATGTAAGAAGGGTTGATTAGATTAGTCTTACAAACTTTTGCAATACATAAAAGGGGACTAAAGGAACTGATTTCTGGAAGTTTCATAGTGATCTAACTCCTGTTCAAATATTTTCCATCCCGTATAAAAAATACCATTACTGATCACTGGTAACAGTTCAATGGCCTGTTAAAGCTTACGAGAAACAAATATGCTCTGTTACACATATCTTCTCCAAATATTATATTCAGGAACTGGAACCACAGTCCTCCAAAGACACAAACTCAAACCTGGAATTCAGCCAACGCTAAAATGTACAAGTTTAATAATTATAAATTTTGCAGCTAAAGGTAAGAAGACTGACAAACTGTTGCTCATTTAGCCTTTCTTTTTAAAGAAACTGTAATATGTTAGATTTTAAACACATGAAGAAAATACCTAAACATTAATACTAGCAAAATTTTAGATGTAAAGCGAAGTACTTATATGTATCTTAACAGTGTGTGTACACACACACACTTCACACTCATGCACACCTTAAGAAAGTTCACATAACAAACATTAGTTTGGAAAAATAAAAATATTTCTGCATACTATGCTAAAACATGCTTGACAGCTGCATCTACATGTAAGAGACGCAGGAGTATGAAAAAGATGGTTTTAAACTAGCTGTAGCAAAATACATCAGCGATACAAAGGATCATAATATTCCACCAAAATGTTTTTAGCTATAGGGATTATTTCAAAATGCATTTTCATTTAAATGAGGCAAAGCATATAAATTACGTCTTTAAATACAATTTTCTTTCAGTCTTGGACTGAATCCAAACAAACCCTGTGTATCTGTTCTCCCCATAGCTGGATTTGCATATCAGAGGATTGTTTGATGTCAACAGGAAGATGGAGACCAGATTTCTTTTCATTTAAAAACAAATACACAATACACGTAAGTATGTGCACATGAAAGCATAGTTCCTTGACTTAAAATGCATTCTGAAATTATCATAATTATAACTAGGTACTTTATTTAAATATTCTGAATTATTATTATTTTTTAACTTGAATGTAAGTACAAGCAGTGATGAAATACCATTCACAAAATGTCTGAAATGGGAAGATTTTCCATTACAGATTTCCATTCCAATGTACATCAATGTACTTTCCAAGTATTTATGTACAAGTTTTAACATTTTATTCACTTGCCATCTCTAACACTGTAGCTGACTGTGCACTAAAAAATTGGCTTCAGTTCTTACAGTGCAAGGATAAAATATAAGTGTGTCAGAGGTAGTCTCATTCTACTGAAGGCATTAATAATTTTGCAGGATAATAATAATCTCTTCCTGAAAGCATCAATATTATTACTTAACCCCATAGAATTTGTCTAAAGGGGATGGAGAAAAGCTGCTAGATTTGCTAACAACATTTGTATTTTTGTCCCTTTTTACAGAATAACCGAACAGTTTCCTAATGAGAAAATGTAACTCTCCTTAATTTCTAATGGATTGCTAAAAGAAAAATAAAGTATTCTCCAAATGTTTCCATCCTAGTGAAGTTAAACATAGCTGACCTGCACCTAAAAAGCATATGCCATTCAGTTTCTTGGTGGCATAAAAAAAACCCCAAAAACAAAAGAGTAAATGATAGATGGGGGGAAAAAGTTTCAAGTCAATATAAAAGCATGAAATAATATACTGAGTTTCTAAAGATGATGCTTTAAAGGTCAAATTCCAAAAGCAAAAATGACAGCAATTAGCAAATGGTTTTACCTAGACTTAACAAGCACAGTTCAGAGAATACCCAGGACTATGTTTGGACTTTATAAGAAACCTAAGGATTTCCCAAAGGTGAGTAGACAGTGAATGTAGACGATTTAAACACAACTAGAAATTTCAGATATGACTTGCCTACATCTGCCAACCATGCTTGGAAAAAATTTAGTATTCAGTTCTGATTTGGGTGTATCAGAGGATTTTACGGTGTGATTAACCCTGCTTTAGGCCTCACTGAATAGGAAAAAAAAATAGGAATAAATTAAAAGAAGACAACCCAATGAGTGTTTAAGAAGCAAACTGGACTAAAGAAAGCAAGACATTTTATGAAATTCTCTTGATGACAGCTGATAATTTTGCAGAGTCATTACTTAAAATAAAGAACAGAACTGTGAAACTGTCAAATAGGCCCACAAGAATATATACCTGAATTTTTCCCTGCACAGGCTGTTGCCTAGAGTTACCTTCTGAAAGACTATATTTGGGAGAAAAGTGAAATGAGAAAGATGATTAAACAGATTCCTTTTCCTTTCACCATTTGGTGAGACTCTAGATCGCATCATCTTGTTCTCATGACAAAACTTCACTTCTGGCTTCCAAAAATATAAAATGTGAGAGAGGGTTACATTTTATTGCATACACTTATCAGAACACAGTGATTCAACAACAGATACTAGTGAGAAGAAATCTGAACTTCAAGAGGAAAGTGATGCAGAAATTATTATTACACAGAATTTTCAAGTAATACGTAATGAAGTTCTTGACCATTTCTGGCTGTGTTTCTTCGGGAGCCCTTTTTAATATGGATTAGCAGAAAGAACAGAAAGAGGAAAGAGAAGGTCAGGCAGCTGTAACAGGAAATTATGGAAGCACAACCAAGAGATCTCACTCTGTGAATACAACAGAAACAAACCAGAACTGGCAAGGGCATGCAAGGCCAAAAAGACTGAAGATAAACCTTAGCATCTCTGTATTTTGGAGACTGAAGTATATAGAAATGAATTACCTCCATAAGTCTTATTTCCTATTTAAAAACTTAGTACCAATGCAGCATCACAGGAGTTTTGTCTGGCTCTGCTCTTTCATGAATTCGGCTGCCCATCTCTTCAGACCATGGTAAGTTTTCTGTCATTTTTCTTTGCTTTCTATGCAGAACAAAAATAGAACTTCCCACAACATCCTGATTCATTCACTCAATTTGATCACAGCGTGATCAAATTTGCCTACATTTCAAGAGCAGCAGCTGTCTCTTAGTTGTAAAAAGAGAACAAATACAAAAAAAAACCCCAAACCCAAGCTATTTGGCATCTACCAATTGAACATACAGAAAAAGCAAGTATTCAGCCAACAAAGTGATTAAAATGAAAATATTTACCTGGTTCTTTTTCCAGCTTTTATTTACAGTTGCTTACATCTCCAGTTACTGAAGATGCCATACATTTACCTTTTCCCTTTCACACTCCACAAAAAAAGTGTTTTAAAAAACCAAATCTTCCTCTATTAGTCATCTCAGTATACAACAAACTTTATTTAATCCAGAGCAACAAAAGACTACGACACAGGACAAAAACCAGCATATAAAATAATGGTACTAACAGAAGTACCTACAAGCATCAGAAAGACAAGGTAGTAGAATTAACTGTGGTCTTTCTTTGAGGGAAAAAAAAAAAAAAACCACGCCACATGGACACCACAGAATTGAGATAGAAGCATCCTCTCAAAATATTATCACATACATAATCAAAATAAAGACACCTACTTACAAGAAATAATAAGCCTTGTAAAAAATGCAAGTAGAATTTTTCATATTTTCCATTTTAGTATGCATTCTTCCATGCTAATAATCAGACTGTTAATAAGACTCCTGGTTAAACTCAGATTGCTTAGAAAGCTCTGAACTAAGTCACTTTATATATACGTATTTTTATCCAACTTTCTCTGCAAGGATTCACATAATTTTTCCTTATTGAGCAGTCCACCTACAGTCACTCTGTTCCACCTAATGTTTTTGTTGATGCAAAAAAGCAAGAACATAGAGTGTTCAGAAATTAAAGACACCTACTGAAATCAGATCTACTTGCAGAGCCAGTAATAACAAATTTCCAATACTGCATCATTTTCCATGTCCCTGATGTTACCACCGAGTAGGGCTTCTTAAAACACACAGCCACATGTTTAAATTCAACAGTATTTGTTTACATGCATCTCTCTCCAAAAAATCCCCGTAGGAAAACTGGTTTAGCATGAAGAGGTGAAACTCATGCTTGAATCATTAACTCTACTTGCTAATAAAAAGCAATAGCATGACACAGCAAGTAAAGAGGCTATCATCTTAACTTTTTTTCTCTCTACAAACAAGGCAGACAGATTCGGTTTCTGTTAATTCTCAGCAAGTTTTTCATACTGCACAAACACTGACGGTGTGAATTTCTCAAACGTAACTGTGGGAAAAATTAAAACTGAACTCCAAGTATTGTTTGCAGGACACTGCAAACAAGAAAAGTACCCAGAACTACTAATTTGATAAAATCTTTCAATTCTCCCTGCTCCTTAAAGGCTCACAGACAATTCAGCACCAGTGGACAAAGGTGAAGATGAAATATCCAAAGCCTTTCTGCCCAGTTAGAGCTACTTGAACAGCCCACGTAAGTTAAATCAAGTTTCCTGTCAATTTAACTTTTCACAGCTAAGTGATACCATTATTTTCCCTACATATTCAGCCAGTACTTACACAATAGCTTCAGGTGTGATGACTGTGAAGGGGACCGACCACA